CAAGCCAGTACCGCATCAATTAAGACCCAAGCGGTGGCTACAGAAGTGGACAATTATCACAACACGCGGACGACCACTAGGAACTATAAATACCGTGTAGCTTGTGCATGTCTCCACCCCACCTGCGCATGACCATACCTATGTTATCATCACCTATGATTAAGGATTCCCGAGGGAATCCGAAACGTCCTGTGTTATCATCACCTATGATTAAGGATTCCCGAGGGAATCCGAAACGTCAGGAAAGTTTGTTCCAGTGATCGCATCTTCTTCTTCTGAACTGCTGCCTGGAACTCGTATCATTACCTATGATTAAGGATTCCCGAGGGAATCCGAAACGTCAGGCAAATAAAACTGCTTATGACTAAGGATTCCCGACGGAATCCGAAACGTCAGGAAAATAAAGTCCTTCTCCAGTGATCGCTTCTTCTTCTTCTTCTTCTTCTTCTTCTTCTGAATTGCTTCCTGGAACGTAAGGATTCCCGACGGAATCCGAAACGTCAGGACAATAAAACTCTTGTTCCAGTTGAGTCGCATCCTCTTCTTCTGAACTGCTTCCTGGAACTCGCATATCGAAAGTCTACGTCCGCATCTTCTTCCTCTGTTTCCGATTCAGTGGCATGAAGATCCTTGACCCACTCCCCCGCGTGCATGTCCAGATAGTCACGGCTAGCCCAGGGCCACTTGAACACACCACCCCTCGGTCAACGCAGCATGAGTCTTTATACGCGACTCTACCTGGGACAATACAACACACCAGACGAACACCACTCGAACTTGCTCCACAATCACATGTAAAAGCAACTGCCGCCGCTGGCTCACACTCTCGCAGGCATGACCGGATGCAGTCAACTGCGGCCACTGCTGCCCGGGACAGCAACTTTGGGTTTTGTGCAGAACAAGGTCCTTATTCTCAAGCTTTCAGCCTTCTACCTACAACTTAGAATTTGGCCTGATGATTGAATTACCCTAAACACAACTACTACTTAGTCGCTACAACGTCGTCTACTAGCTACGTCAACACGTCCCTCAGGAGAATTAAGCTCTTTTAGGTGCATAAACATCGCCGACAAAGACAAGGGAGACTAGGATGGACATTTCTGGCCCAATAGCCGCTCGAATCTGACCCGCATTAGCAGACATATCGATCTCGATTCACAGTACGATGGTTTACGCGCACGACTCACAGACCCACACCCACAACAGTCACTTATCATTACTCGACCAAGTGGAAATGCACTGATGCGGCATCCCCCAGACCC